AAATATTTTCCTCAGCACATCGTTTTCAAACACTTCAAGTCCATAGATCACTTTTCTTAAGAATAAAATTTCTCATATTGATGTAAAGAATACTGAAAACCAAGAACTTTGCCTATTACAGAAAACGTGAGGAGACATATCAGTTGATTATCAGGAAGAAAGAGTGCTTGAAAAACGATGGAATTTTGCAATGCAAATAAAAGCAGTAATCAGTGTCTGAGACTGAATATTGTTATTTAAAAAATATAAAAAGCTTTGCTTAGAATAGACATAAAATTTGTGGTTGGTTTTAAACGATTTGTAATGCAAATAAATCCAGTATCAGTACAGTGGATTCCGGTTAATTGGGACACATCAGGACTAACATTTTGACCCAATTAAGCATCTGCCCCAATTATGCGAAGTTCCATGCAAAGAGTTGGCTGAAGATATGGTCCAATGACAGAATTTGTTGAACAGCTGAATATCAACTGCAGAATAAGATCCAGGACCACAGAGTGAGTAAATTGGTGTGTTACAGGTGCACAATTTTTAGTGAAGTGTTTTTTGTTATATTTAAATATATTTGCAGGTCCAGATCACATGAGTGTCCTGTTAGCACCATCTGTGAAACTTATAAACTGGAGCTTTGATGCAGTAATCACTGAAAGTGGTTATAAATGGGAAAATAAATCTGTTTACTTCATAAATTATGCTCAAGGCTTGACTGGAATTCCATTTGAATTCTGGATTGACTTGGAGGTAAGTGAAAGACATGAATATGCATGCAACTTTGCTTCTTCATGTTAAGTGTACTTCTCTTTCTACATTTTTTAGTTCTTAATGTATAGCACCATATATTCCTCAGTGTGTTTAATGGATGAGTGTTAAATACACAGTTATCAATGCAAGGAATACAAATTAGATTCATAGACCAGTTGCCAACATCTCATGTTTTCAGAAGAGTGCATATTTGGTGATATCAACATTTTCAACAGTCCAGTAGTATCAAAAAGAAACTTAATTACACACTTCTTAAACTCTGTTGGTGGATTTATAACATTTATGAATAACTCATAGTGGTCATAAAGATTTTCTTGTCTTTAAGTACAGGGTGAGTACAAGAAAACTTAACACTTTCAAAATGATTCGGTAAACAAATGTGGTGTATTTAGAATTTCATACCCACACCAGCCGATGGAAATACTCTCAAAGTTTTGTTTCAGATGACCTAGGTGATTATTGTTGTTGCTGTGTTCCTCTACAAAATGCCACAATTTTTAAAATGGCTACCTTACAACAGAGGACTTGCTGTGTTCTGCAGTTAGCAAAGAAAGTCTGTACATATTGCAACATGCATTTTGTACACATTTTCACATGGAACCACTCAGCCAAGTATCCATTTGTGTCTGTTACAAGAAATTTTCATCATAACTGCTATAGCTTCCATCACTAGGGACAATCTGCACAAAGTTTGGGACAAGTTGGATTATTGCCTGACATCTTCCATGTCACTTGTGCACATATCGAGTCTCTGTGAGGAGTGTACAAAGGTTTGAGAGTTTTTTATCGACTGATGTAGATGTGAAGTGCAAAGTATGTCACATTTGTTGTCTGTCATTTTGAAAGTGTAAAGTTCATTTGTGCTCACCTGGTATTATAAATGTGTAGTATAATTTATCAACTGTATGTAATGGCTGATATGACTTATTCCACATCTACCACTATTAAAAAAGACTAATTACAGCATGAGAGGAAGTACGATGCACTCCGTTTTTACAGAGGAGGCTCTATGACTTACTATGTTAACATAATAATTACAGCACTATGTAAGAAATTATACAAAAATTTACAATTTAACTTTATTTGTTAAGAAAGAGTCACAAATATCTGGTTGATTAAAATTTAAGCTGATTAATCAGTTAATCAACAAATGCCAGGCAAATGAAAATAGACATAATTTTTTCTTTTATATTTCAGTCTGAACAGACACTGTTTTTTAATACTTAAAAATAGTTAATTTTACAGGTTTTTGTTGTAGTCCATGGCATGTTTCATCTCAAGTTGACCAAATTTTCAGTGTTATTTTATTACTAAAACACATGTTCTGTAACATGGTTTCAAAATTTTCTGGTGACGTTTCAGTATGGACATACGAGAATATTATGGAAATATTTTTAAGCCATGGTAAAAGTATGTATTGTTGTTTTTCAAGATTTTATATTCTTCAACAAGGTACACATAAAATTGTTACAGGGTTACTGGTTTGTGCCTTCAGAAATACAAATTATCACTGCATTGATTTTATTGACACTGTTTTCCTTATAGGTTACCAAAGGTCCACCTAGTTTGCGCCTGGATATTGCAGTAATTGGTCAATACATTAACAGTCATGAGTACATTTCAGAAGGTTTTAAAACATTCCTGAGGAAATACCCTGACTGGGCACATGTAACTGCTTGGGCTGCAACTTACAAAGCATGGAAGTTCTAATTGTCATTAACACTTCATTATAGAAGGTATTCTAGGAATTATGATTGTTATTTTGTAAGTGTTGAAAGGGGTGAATGTAATACTGACCATAAATATAAATATGTGAATGGACTATGCGTAGTTCAGGTATGATAGTTAAAATAGATTTTTCAGTTTTGTCATTGTATGATGTCTATAGGTGCTATTTATTAGCTGCTGTAAATGTATTTTGGTTTCAAGGTATGCATTATATATATATATATTTATAACTAGGTAAGAGGAGCTTATTATATATCCAAAACAGTTTTGTATCTATTTTAAATGAGTGTGACCTTTGTACTGACCCATATCTCCCCTTCTACAGAGGCGTTTTTGAAATGTCTATTGCTAAGTTGGTCTGGGCACATAATGAAGCTGAATATAAGGCATGTTACATTGTTTCTATTCACACACACTCATACATATACAATGTACAGGCATACTTATTTACAAAATATGACATGTGCCAAATCATACATATAAAACAGGTGCAACAAGAAGCCTGTGATACTTCATGATTAGAGAATATAAATATAAACATTTATTCTGCAGACCCCAAAAGAATAGTGCCAAGCCAAAGTCATGTCATGGACAAGGTGATAGAATGGGGAATGGAATAAAGAGGAGAAAGATCTTATACCTTCATTATGAAAACTAGTCTTTCAAACTTTACTCATTCGAATCC